GTGGTATTCCCTTCATTTATCTTTGCTGCTCATGCTACAGTGTCTTAAAAATGAATATTTTCTGCTCTTCTTCTTCCTCCTCCTCTTCCTCTCACCTTGACCCCAAATGGAGTTCATGGCATGGCATGCTTTGTTATACATCTTTATTTTGTTGTGACCTTACTTTGCAATGTGTACATGATCTTTTTTCATATTCTTTCCACCTTTTTAAAAAATGCATAAATGTACAGGACCCTGCAATCTGTTTATTATCCTTGTATCTAAATGCAGAAAATTCATAAGCAATACAGTGAATTTTATTTCACAAACCACAGAGGTACTGTATATATATTTTCCTAGCTCCAAAATTTTCTATTTTGACTCAATAAATTTGTATAAAAAAGAAACACACCACAGTGGTAACTCTTTTGACTATTAGGACATTAACTGGCTGCTTCTTTATATGTAATTGTACTGTCTGCTCCTTTTTTTGGAGATGTGTTTTTTGTATGGATGTTTGAGCCAATGGGAGGCTTCACGTTACTATGTATTTTCCCACTTTAAATATATTTAACATAATGACAAACCCCAGACAAGGCTTTTAAAAAGTAAGAAGAACTGCAGTGTTAGGTGGTTTATCTGCAAACTGTTTTCAGTGCTGTCCATTTTATGGCACCTTTAACAATATTCTTGTTTCCAAAGTACAAAATAGAGGTTAAAAAAATACTCTAGCCATAACTGAATGTCAAGCAATAAAAACAAATGACTTTTTGTGCATAGATTTAAAAGAAATACAAAGCTTAGACATCTGCATGTAAATGCAAATCTCTTGTTTACTGCTTTCTTAAACTTGATCAATCAACTCCTTATTTTATTACTAATTTAAGGACTTGTAATGGCCTGTACACATTTTCTCTTGCTCTAATCTTATGTCATTATCTTTGTCTCAGCTTCTGAGTCATACTCTTCAGTGTTGTTCTGCTCACCTTCTGTATGGTTATAACTACTTTGCTTTAATTCTCTATAGATAAAGATGTACTATTTAAAAAGCCTATGCGGTGCAAATATTTATCTGTTTATCAAATACCACATTATGCTGTATAATATCTGTTTTACTATATACTCTATTTTAGAAATAGCTGTTTAGAACTAGAATGTGCTATTTTTGTGTTTTTCTGATGTGTGGTGCTAGGTAAGTTAATTTTATGAACAAACCTCCCTTTCCCATTTGACTCCTAGACAATACCACGTTTGGGTCTTGTATTGTTTCACTGAATATTTATGTGTGCATGTGTATAAACTTTATACACATTTTCACACAAGCCCAATCAAGTATCTGTATCAGAATACTAGACTGGGATATGAGTTTCTCTTCAAACATACAATGTCATTCTATAGAGTTGTCTCTAGTGTATTTAATCTGGAGAAAATTTAATCCTCAGTATTGATATTTGATATCCAGTCTTGTTGCTCCTCTCTTTTTCTCATCCCCTGAAACGTCCTTGTGGTGAAGCAGCCACAACTTCAGTTAACCTTTGGTGCGTCACTTCTGAAACCTACTGCTTCAGACGACCATTCTGTGTGCCAATCTGCCCTTTCTGCTAATGCGTACAGTACTAGAAGGGAGGCATTTTCTTCCAACTGCATGTTCACAGTTCTCTCATGATGCAATTTACTCTTCTCGGGGTCAGCAGATAAGAGCTATACTGTAGGTGCAGTGATAATATGCTGGAGTTGGAGAGAACAATGGTGCGCCCTTTGTGCCATTGAGGAGGGAAATGCAGTTTTGCCCTGATTCATTGATGGGATGAAGACGGGGAAGAATTAAAGGTACACTTGGGAAAACCATGACACTAGAATGTTGGAGTGCCCTTTTGACAGTCTCCTTTGTCTTGCCTTGATGAGCCGAGTGATGTCATTTCAGAGGCTTTAGTCAGGTGTTGTATGGAACTAATGATACAGATTACTAAAGAAGGCCCACACTTAACCAAAATAAACTTGTCCTTTCAATAAAAACATGTCCATGTGTCAAGCTCTTAATGTGCATTGGCCTAGGTTATCATGATCATGCTACCCTGAATACACCCAATCTCGCCTGATTCCAGGAGCTAAGCAGGGTTGGGGCAAGTTAATACTTGAATGGGAGACTGCAAAGGAACTCAAAAAAGGCAAACATTATAAAGGTGCTGGTTGCTTTCTTTCTATTCTTGTTCATGACTTCACTAATCTATTCCTCCTATAGACAAGAATGTGTACTTATCTCTTTCTTCACTAGGAGTCTGCTACAAATTGAGACAAATATAGCCTAAACTGGAAAATGCACCAGTGGTTCCTGATGGTACCATGTATTGCACTACCGAATTCTAAACTGAATTTGGCATTTAAAATTACCAGAACAGTATATAAATATTATTTAAGAAAAATGTGTAGTATTAAAGCTAATTTAACTAGAAGCTCAAATTCTCTCATTTATTGCTGATATCATCTCTTGGAAAAAAAATAGTGGATATCAAATATCTAAAAAAGGGGGGATAATTGAACTTTAAAATATTTATTACAACTCTTTTCTGTACTATTGCTGATGTTATACAATCTTTAGCAAAGTTTTTTGAGGAATTTAAGAAGCTGTTTGTTTACTGCACTTTTTGATAATAGAGTATAGTGAAAATTAAAGCCACGAGTCTTGGCTCCATGCACTGCTTCTGTACTTCATTTTAACAAACAACCAGTATTCTGGAAATACAAATTGTATCTGCACCCTGGCTACATTTTAATGAGTAGAAATTTAAGTACAATCACTTTCAGGATAATTAGTCTGAACAATTTATTTGAAGCTACAACCCTTTCTAAAAATACAAGTCCATTTTTCATTCCCTTATGGGATCAAATCACTTTTTAAACAGAGAATTTCTTTATTTGTCTAAAACGTGTGTCACTTACTTTATACCAATAACATTTTCCACTAATTGTTTGGACTTCATTGTTTTATAAATTATGCAAGTTTGTGTGAGTAATGTTTTTCATGTAATTAAATGTCTGAAGAATAAGAATAATTGCTGATTATAAATATGTATTGGTTTGAGGATTAAGCACATAAACATCACCAACCTCACTGGGTGACATACTCAGTCTTCTGTAAATACTACAAATTGACATGACTCTGTACTGTACATGCAAAAATGTGTTGTCATCTGTGTACAGTACGCACAAATTCATTTTCTAGTTATGATAAAGCATAAGCCATTGAGAGGAATATTAAAAGTAATATTGTAATGAAACTTCGGTAATGATCTCTGCCCCATTATCACCTAACCTTTTCACTTCTATCAGATCTTTGAAACTCACTTACACTTGTCAGCTTAGACTCAACAGTTTGTTATTTTATTCTGATCCTGAATAAAGTATTTTGACTCATTTTGTAAATACAACTGTAAAAATAAGAGATTTACTGTTGTCTTTTAAATACTCCGATTTTCATTCTAATATGAATGTTGTTATATTGTACTTAGAACCTGTACCTTTAATATTACATTACCTTTATTAAGTGCATTGAACACATCAATTTTAGATGTGCTTTATGTACTGTTCTCCTGTAATAAAACTTCAGCTTCTAATGGAAACCTTTGTCATATTTGTTTTTTCACATCTAGATAGCTCTTAAAATTTTTACTGGGCTGCCATAAGTGTTAAGCCAGTATTTTTGTCTTCATTTTAGAATCTAAAAGACTACTAATTTCCAATGCTGGTCATAAAAGGAACCCCGAGAGAGTAAGTTGGCACGGATTGACACAAAAAACGGTGCCATGTTGATCTGACCTTGCCTTCATGTGTGGATTTGATACTTCTTCTGTATCTCAGTCCTGCATTTCTGAAGCAAAGATTCTTCCCACTTGGAGTTTGCTACATTGTGTCTATGGCAGTGGAAGCAGTGGAAGACAGGAGGGCCTGGCTTGCTCTGGTCCATGGGGTCACAAAGAGTCAGACACTTAAAGACCAAACAACAGCAACACTGTGTCTATCTGTGTACCTCCTCCAGGTTTGCTCCTTTGAATCAGGAGATGCACCCAGGTTCATCAGTCTCACAGAGGCTGCTGGTTAATTTTTCATTATAATATTCTATAAAAGTACATATTTTCAAGTGTTAGACTGAAATATGAAGGCTAACTTGTGAACTTGTCTGGTGTGGTGAAGCCAGGAAGCAGTAGCTCAAATATCACTCAGTCGCCTCCCTGGCTGGTCATGCAGTCTATCTTAACACATCTCAAAAGAATATTCTGAAGATAAAATGGTGGTGAACAAAGTATTTTGTCCTAGAATTCTTTTGAGTGAGGTAAGGCTGAAAATATAAAATAAACATACAGTAGCAACACATTAAATGTGTGTGGGCGAGAATTAAGAAACATTTTGGCTACATGCACAAGAGATGAAAAGTGTAGAACAACCAGACCAAACCTAAGAACATATCTTTGAATAAGCCCCCAATTAGTCTTCCTTCCTAAAATGTGTTTCAGCATTTTCACTCATCTCTTTAGGTCTTGCATTTGGAGTGCTCATTCAAGCAAGAAAAAAATGTTGGCACAAACATGAATGTGTCTGAAGTACAGTACTAAATAAAAAGAGTGTGACCATGACCCTTACAGGTCTACAGAATAACAGGCCACATGGCAAAAGCTGGCTCCTACCTTGCTGTGATTCCAATACAACACTGTATAAAGATCAATAATAAAAATTTATGTTTACACATAATGACACCTTATCCCCCTAAAAATCATGGCCTGCTGCATACAGTTTACCTTCGTGCATGTTCTTTGTAATAACTCACCTTTCCCATGGTTACTGTCACAATCCATAATGCAGTTTGAAAGACGGTCTGCTACATAAAGCACTGTGTCCTAAACAGGACGATCTTCCCCTTGAGAAATTCTAGTGAATCCTCCTACAGTTGCCCTACAAGCAGTGGTCCATCACTTCTCATAATGTGGGAATATATTTTCCAGAAATAAAATCAAGAAGACACTTACCTTTTCTTCTCTTTGCGAGCAGAGCACTGAGGCTTTTAATCCTGCATAAAAGACAAAACATATGAAAAGGTGCAAAGTAATTCAACTAATACTGAATGTTATCGACAATTCGTTATATCTGGGCGAGAGAATAGGCAACTCCCCTCACAATGTTGCTGGAGCCCAGTTCTCATCACCTCAATTAGTGGTGCACCAATTCCTAAGCATCTTATCCAGCACTGTGGCTCACTGTTCTGTGAGGCATGGTTCCAAAATCCTCCTCATAAACATTAAAAACAATTAAATTCAAGCATTAGACTATTTAATCTTATACAATGATTCTCACTGTACTTATTCTAGAATGGCTTAACACAGTTAAGCGGCAGGGGAATAGAAGGAAATTCTTCTTCTTCTTCTTCTTTTTTTTTTTTGCTCTGGCAAGTGCACTAAACTGAGGCGATCCTGGTCCTTCGAATATAAATTCTTAACACCCAAGGGAGCAGCACATACTGTACTTAATCTCTCTCTCTGTCACTTTTAAAATTTTGATTTTTTATATTGAATTCATTATAAATCCAGAACTATTTAAAAAATTAATATCACTGCTTGGAATGTATTTTCATGGCAGACTGGCAGGTTATTAGTCTCGTTCAGTGTTATTTCCAGCATGTAAGATGAAATGGCATCAAACTACAACGTGAGCAGCTCCCTTTCAATCTTTTAGCAATTTCAGAAATTGTGAGTACATCTTTATACATTATAATTTTGAAGCCACTAGTAAGTACCTCCAAAACTGTCAGCAAAAAAAAATCAACTTTTTCCATAGTCATAGAAGACTTTGAAGCCCAGCTGGCAGAATATTTTCTAAAAATGTATAAAAAGCAATTTTTTTTGCCGCTTTGGCAGCCATATTCCTCCCCCATGAAGGTAATGGCATTTATAGTTACATAACTTTCCTGTTACTTCTATTACCTCAAGATAATGATACTTTTTCAGTTACAGCAGTTATTGAAAATTCAATAAAGAGATGAAGAACCTTTGTGTCAAGGTCCCAATTTATGCATTAAAACATGCATAAATTTAATGAACATATAGAAGCTCAATTAAATTACTGTATGCTGGATATGAGGGAGGCTTTCAGTGCATCTTACCATTGTTTAAAGGCTGAACCCTGAACTTAAAAATAATTTCTAAGGCAATTTAAGCTTATTTCTCATAACACTTTATTATCATGTAAATCTAAACATCTGTGGCATTTGCACACGTTTACTAGACACCGAGGAACCAACATTCCTGTGTGCAAAGCTTTTATTTTTAAAGCATAATTTATTTTAAATAAGTTTATTTTACTTAAATTATTTCATTATTCTAATTATTTTAGGATAAATCAATATTTTACAATAAATAACAAATACTGCGAGGTTCTTTATTAAGGGGCCTCAATGAAAATTTTAGGAATGAACTCAGTTAATTTAATCGTCGTTCATAATTATTGCATTTTTAACGAAAAGCACTTGTCATGGCGATTTAATTTACCATTCTATATTCACTTACGTGGAAGTAAGTCATTGAACTCAATGGACCTCCTTCAGAATAAGCCTACACAGGCCTTGGCTGTTCTATTGCTCTGCAATGATAATAGGCATAAGCAATTCATTACTATAGAGCATAATTAATATTGTTCACCTAAACACTGAATTAATTTAAGTCTCAGCTTTTTCACCCGTTTCTTTGTGTGGAAAAATTTCGGCCCAAAGAAGAAGCTAACATGGGATTTCTGCTTTATTATGAGGATTCCCAAGATATACCTTGAAAAATACACCCGGTGAGGGAAAGAAAAGCAAATACGAAGCCAAAAAACCGCCGAGGAAACTTTTAACTTCAGTCGCCTCAGAGGGGAAAAAAAGGCGGGACTCCTCACAGAGACTCTTAGGTGGGGCCTCTTGCCCTCAGTCAAAATGGAGCCTCCATGGCCTCGGCGCGTCTTAAACTCCCGCAGTTCTGGTTGGCCTACTCGTGTCCACGTGATGCTCCGCTTCGCGTTTCTCCATGCTGATTGGTCCAAGCGAGAGGTTTAGGGGCAGGCCGTGATGACGATCGAGGTGCGATATAAATGGTCGTCTGGGCGGGCACTTCCACGCTAGGCCCGGCGAAGCGGAGCTGGGGAGCGTTAAAATGGCGGCAGCTGCCGGCAAGCTCCTTCTCCAGTGGTGAGTGAAGCGTTTGGTTTGGGTAGTTTCCCCCCATCTCTCTCTCTCTCTCCTTTCTGTTCACGACTAAACCCGAATTGCTGTCTCAGGACTCGAAGGGAAATGGGGAAAGGAAGGCACCTCTTTCTGAAACCGGGTTCAAATTGTGGGAAGAGGAGGGTGCCTCTGAGCCTGTGCAGAGTGCTCGCCTCAGCGCTAGGAAGGCCCAGCTGAGCGGCCGGGTGTCCATCCCTAAGCAATAGGGCATGCCAAAAAAAAAAGAGGGGGGGTTAGAACCTCTTTTGTTTGCAATTAACAGCATCATCCTATGCGGGCAGGTTTGCACCGAAGCCCCATTGAATTCAATGGGGTTGCTCCCAAGAAAGTTTGGAGGGGGGCCATAGACTGACACGTCGTCCTGTCTTAATCCACGGGTGTTCAGTAAATTTGCTTGGAGGATTGCAATGACTATTTAATGCAGTGACCCTTCCAACAATGATGTTTTTGCTTGGTTCCTTGGGGGAAAAAATTCAGTCGAGCTGTGAAAGGCCATAATGGTGTCCTGCAACCGTTTACTCAGAAGTAAGCACGCACACACCCTGGTCCTTGACTCTCCTGTGCATCCTGAACTGTTGGGGTTGGTGCCCAGGTTGGCCGACACAGCATCCCATGGACCAGTCCAGTCCAAAACAGGGCAGGATCGTTCCTTTTGTGCTGGCAAAAAAAACATAGAAAAGTACTGTATCGCTTTTCCGAGGCCAGGCTTTGTCTCTGTATGCCTAGCAATATAAGAAAAGTACTGTATCGCTTTTCCGAGGCCAGTCTCTGTGTGCCTAGCAATATAAACCACCAAACCCCTGATTTATGTGCCCTTATAACTTACATTTATGCAGTATGAAAGGTTTCCATACCCAAACCGCATAAATTCAAATATGTAAAGCCATAGAAAAGCCGAATTTTTTATTTTATTTATTATTTAACTTATATGCCGCCTACACTACCTGAAGGTCTTTTCAAGGTATTTTCCAGACTACGTACATATATACTGTATTTATAATGTGTGCAATTCATATGTTGATGAATACATACATATCTACTGGGAAGCCTAGAATATCATACTTAAAAATGCTGAATTCATTCCTAGACGTGCTCAGTTTGTATATCGTAGTCCATATCTGGTTATAAATGGGAAATAGTAAAGACTTGTGGGTCCTTATGGACTTAAGGAAGGGTTATTTGACATGAGCTTTCATGGCTTGCATGAAAGATTTTGTTAAGAAATGTTAGTCTTGTTAGTCGTGAAGCTGCTGCAGGTCAAAAACTTGCACAGCTTCTCTTTTGGAAATGCCAGCACAGGGGCTCTGATGTCCATCGAACTCCCTTAATGTTTTCTAACCAAGGGGAACCCACCAGTACTTGCTGAGGCAGCTCATAGCACATTTGAGTAGGTCTTGCCACCAGGGTATTCTTTTTTTAAAGGTTTATTTATTTTTTGTTATGGTTGGAAAACAATTTCTAATTAACGATTTCCCATAATAATTATTATGGGAATTTATTATTATGAGAAATAATTAGTTGCCGATGACTTCCATACAACAGCAAAAATAAAGGTTTATTTATTTTTATTTCCCAATATAGAACACAAAACTTTTCAGTCTTAAATGTTTGTTAATACAGTGATATATTCAACTGCCTTTTGCTCCAAAACAGGGATATTCCACCTCGAAATGGCCATAGCGTCTATTTCTCACGAGATATTTATGAAAAATACTCACTGGCTCCAACTCTTTCAGAATTACTGCTGCTTTCAAAAAGGTATGCATATATGCATGCTTGCTTGCTTGTTATGGTGTGAGAAAGAATTTAAGAAAGATGTGTCTGGATGTCTTGCACGTTGCATAGGACATTCCTAGGTCTCCCCTTAATTTACTTGAAAGTAAGTTTTATGCTGTTCTTTGGACTTCCAAAAAGTATGTGTCTGGCTGGTACCCTTACAGGCATGTGTACCTGGACATATAGAATATAAAATGAGGCATATACGTATATCCTAGTAGATGTTCTGGTAGATGTGTGTTGGGCTGGACTTTTAGACTAACTCTTGAAAATGTGGTGTGTGTCTGTGTGACTTATAAATTTTCCCACTAGCGGTCAAGGAACTATCAGAATAAAAACCATGCGCTCTTAAGCTCATTCTGACTCCTGGCCACCTTTCCTAGGTATAGGCTATTCAGATGTGGTTCATCATATTTCCTTCTTCTGGGGGCAGTCCCTGACCAAGTAGCTTGCCTGGCTTTTCTCACACAAGGCACAGTGGGGAATCAAACTCCCAACCTGCTAGGTGCTTCCTCTCCTCTCCCACTTGAGAGGCCATTGTAGAGTACAAAAGTACATACTTTGCAGCTTATTTTAAAGACTACTTTCCAGAAGCCCTCAGTCGGTATGGCCATTTGTTATCCATTTGGATTCACACAGGAGTGGTGGTCCAGAAAAAGAGGATTTTTATTTATTTATTGGATTTCTATCCCACCCATCTAGACCAAAAGTCTACTCTGGGTGGTTTACAAATTTAAAAACAATAAAACCAAAAACATATAGGTCCAAGATGGCAAAGTATAAGAAATTAAGACGTGGCAGGAGAGAAAGCCTGCCCAAATAGCCAGGTTTTAAGTCTATTCTTGAAAACACACAGATGGGGGAGCCAGGCGGATCTCCATGGGCAAGTATTTCAAAAGGTGAGGGGCCACTGCCGAGAAGGCCCTATTTCTCGTCCTTTCCCTCTGGACCTCCCTCGGCGTTAGGCCCCTCAGCCGCCCGGCCTGGCTGGAACAAGTGACTCTGGCAGAACTGGGTGGGAGAAGGCGCTCTGCCAGATATCACCTTGCGTGACACACTTGCTACCTCTCCCATGTGGCTTACGAGACCATTCTTACCAGTGTGTGTTTTTTGGTGTCTCTGTTTCATAAGGTACAAAAATGTCCTTGAACCACAGGTCTGGTCCTTGGGGAAAGTCCTCTTCTCTAGGGCAAACACCATCTGTTTTTAAAAAGAGTTTATTATTCGCAATGTGTCACCCAAAGCTTCCACACAGTGGCTTTTGACAGGCAGAAAGGCCTATATTTGCTGGCAGCAGCTTCCCACAGTCTTGAGTCCTTAGCTAGCTCTGCTACGTGAAACTCACTTTTTGTAAAAGCACATGGCCATGAGTTGATTGTGGCAACCTACGTGCGGACCAGGTCCCCCAGACCTCCTCTCTACCATTCTGTGCAATCCTCCTCCTGTGTGAAGGAATTGTAAGAGTATCTGAATCCCCTGTTTATTTGTATTCTTAACAGAATCCTCGTGAGACTGGCTTCTACCAAATGTAGCCGGGTTGATCCTGGCAACCTACGTGCGGACCAGGTCCCCCCGACCTCCTCTCTACCATTCTGTGCAATCCTCCTCCTGTGTGAAGGAATTGTAAAAGTATCTGAATCCCCTGTTTATTTGTACTCTTAACAGAATCCTCGTGAGACTGGCTTCTACCCAATGCAGCTTCCTTCAGCTACTTGGGTTTTTGCTTGTTTGTTTTGAATGCAGCCTGGTTTGCTTTTGCTTTGTATGGATTCCGCTTGCTGATTTCTCGCAATGAAAACATTTCAATCAAGAGCTTTGGCATCGTCCATTAATTCTTTAAAATAGCAAACATGTTTTTAAAGAGGGGTTGAATTCAGATAGAACAGACTTGCTCAGCTGCTGGGAGTGAAACGACCATCAAATCAGATGCCACTAAAAGCGTGGCGGAATCAAGGTTTTAACCCACGGGAATTTTCCACAGCAGAGACAGGCATTCGAACCCTGGTCCCTGCGTCCCAGTCTGTCACTCTGTCCATTATACCACACAAGATTCCTGCAGCTGCATTAATAGGGAGGATTTTCACCCTTTGGGTATTTGCTTGGATTTAGAACAAAGCGCCTTTCTTGACCTGTCATCTGAGCACAGTAAAGTTAACTGAGGTGTCCTTTTAAATGGCATTCCATTGATGCAGATGATGTTTGTAAGCGCTACAGGAAGAATCAGGTTTTGCTGGATCTTTTGAAAGAAGGATTTTGAAGCTAGGGCCTAGTTGGGGGGGGGAATGTGGGGAAGGAAGAGAGACAGTATTCTCTCTCTCCTCCTAGCAACTTAGAAGATAGAAATGGGAAAAGGAAATAGAGAAACTTGTACTTTATCTAAGCTAGACTGTGGGATTTTTCCTTTTGGCAGCTCAGGACAAGATTTGGTAAGAAGCAAATAAGGAGAATTGTTGCTAAAATGTAGAACGGAGGAACAGACGATGACCCCCCTGATTTCTCCTATGAATTGAGTTCCATCTATACTCGGGTGGCAAAATCTGGAAGGGAGAGATCCAAAAGTAATATTTCAGGAATATATGAATTTGCGTCCAGAACGTTGGGTGCCTTCTCGTCTTCAGGAAACGGCTATTGGAGGAATGTTGGTTGACAAAGGGACTGGTTTGAATGAAGAGCAGGCTGGGGATACAGGTGGAGGAGGGCTTTCGGCTTGCCTTCTGCCAAAGGCTGTGACAGCCGCCTGCTGAGAAATGATCCTGATGGGATGCTGTCCCGCTCTCCGTCAAACGGAGCTCATTTAAGCTGCTAGAATCGCTTGACATCCCTGCATCGGGCACCTCTGAGTCAGCATCTTGTTGGTATAGCAGCTTAATTAAATTTGCCAGTTCGTGCCACAAGGATGGGCATCTTCTCTCATTTGGAGAGACAGCTGTGCAGCCTTATTAAGAGCAGTAGACATGATACTCGTAGAGATGTTTCTCAGGTGTGTGTAAATCAAGTCTTCCTTTTTTTTTCACCCGATCAGCAGTTAACTCTCAGTTTAGTTAATCTAAAATTTGCTTCTTGGTAAGCATGCTTAGGCCAAAGGATTGAGAGCTAAACAAGCTGCTACCCATTTGGGTGTTTTGACAATCATATGCATAATGGCTTGTGCTGTTTCATCACCATGTGAGCTGTGGTGGTAGCAAGCCAAGAAAATAAAACAGGCAGTGATCCAAAGAAGCATGAAGTAGTTTTTGCGAGGACAAGGGGCCTTTAGGCATGTTGTCCTGTTTTCCTCCTGGTTATAAATCTAGGAGAGACTCAGAGAAAAGCATGTGCTAAGGAGTAGGAGCGGATGCTCAGATAAAGTGCTCATGCATGTCTCTGCAGTGAACTGGACGTTGTAGTCCTTTCTTCAGGGTAAGCGCTATTGAGCACAGGAGGACTTGCTTCTGAGTACGTTTTCAGAGGATTCTGCTGATTCAAAGGTGAGTGGCTCTTCCGATTCTGACTGTTTTCCAAGAGGAGAGGTGTGAATTACAAATAAAATGTGGAAGGCGTCTTTGGGGCAGGGAAGTGTCTTTTTAGCAAACGGCATGAAAAAGGCAGAGTAGCCTCTGTTTTGGACTGAAGGTTCAATATATCTTTGAAGTTAAGGAATGGGGTGGAAAGATAGAGGAGGATGGTGGCTGATGCATTTTGTCAGAATGTGAATAAAAAGCTAAGCTTCCAGGTCAATGTGCTCAGAAAAGCTCTGTGTATTATTTCTTTTGTTTCAGAGGTGCAGGACACAATGTAAATGTTCCAGATTCTGGGCAAGAAAATAAAACCTCCAGCGAACAGCTTTCAACAAAAACAGTTGACAAGGGAGCTGAGCCTTCAGCAGAGGTGGCACCTTTTCAAGATCCTCAGGTTCCCTACCCCTATTTTTCTAGTCTGACCGAAAGAGAGCAGAGGAGGTACTTATTTCTGTTGTCCACGTATGCAAAGGCTGACCCCCATCGGATCAGTCTCTCTCAGCAGAAAGATTACTCACAGTACCTGGTAAGCGTTGAGTTTTTCTGATTGTAATAACACTCTTTAACTTTTAAAAAGGACTTGCAGTTGCAGGTTTTGGTCACTTAAGATTTCCTGTCCTGTCCCCAGAAGCCTTCTCCGGAACCAAAGAGATCTTAGGAACCTGGAGGTTGGTGGGAGAGGAGGGAACAGGAAATGCTTAATTACTGAGATAGAGCCATAGCTGATGACACCGTCAGACTTGGACAGCAAAATTTTACTTTTCCGGATTTCAGCCCATATTTATCTTGTCCAAGAATATCAGGCAAAATCCAAAGAAACGAAACTAAAACAGCCATGACAGCTTAAAAATTTATTATATTAGAATGTGAGCTTTTCGTGGGCTAGTTTACTTCATCAGACATATGGAAATAAATGAAATATTGGATGAAATACCAAATTTACAAGTAAAAAATTCTAAACGTTCTTTGGCTCCAAGAGTCTTGGGTGTGCGGTTTCATCTGGCATGCAGTAATGAATAGCCTATGTTTGCTGTTAGGTTCCATTGTAAGCATTCCTGCAGGAGACAGAAAACAGATAGCGGACTGGATTGAAAAAGAGGCGGAAGAGAAGGGGTGGGGGTTGGTCCAGACTCACAGGAATAAGGATGCCCAAGATGTTGATCATAGGTTAAGCTATAAAAATTGGTTGACTTTTCAGTGTGCATGTAAAAAAATGGCAAAAAATAGCCTGTTGAACAGTAGAGGAAATGGTGGGCCACCCAGTAGCTGCAAGGGCACTGAGTTGCCTCCTGCCTGCTAGCACAGAGCAGACCACCAGAGCGTACAGCACAACCCCTTTCAGTGTTTTCAAGGAATGAATGGCTCTGGAAACCCTGTTCTGATCTGGGCGGTTGCAGCAACAGACACGGAAGTGGGGGCTGGGGGCAGGAAATGACAGACGAACCAGAGGAAAGAGAACTGGGGTTCAGAGTTTGGAGTGCTGTGAGTGAAATGCTGCTGGACTTCCACTCTCAGAATCCACGGCTGGCTGGAGGATTCTGGAAGCTGTAGTCGAGAAAAGCAATGTTTCCAAGGTTGGGTGAAATATGTGTCAGCCAAGGTGGATGAGAGGAGGGGGTGGGGATGCCAGGACCAGGAACAGAGGAGGGAGAAATAATAAGGGAAGTAAAATTGGAAACATACAAAGAAAAAAAGGGGAAGAGTCAAATATGAGAAGAGAAGGGGGGCAAGACTCTGGAAATTGAAGGTCTGCGTCAAGTAGACTCTGGAGGCCTAGCACAAGATTTTGTTGGATGGCCTTAGTGATTTTTATCTTCCTTACAACCCTTCTTACCTGCTGCAATCATGCTTTGCCCTCCGATTGGGTCCCCTCCAGGGCAAACGAATGCTCTCTGGCACAAAAAGTATACAAAAGTAGTAATCATGAAAATGTCACGTGACTGTTCCTCGGCTTCTTTTCAGCAAATGAAAGAATTTGTGAGCAAAGAGGTTGCAGAGTTCTTGAAGTTCGCCCAGAATGTTGCTAGAAGCTGCAGTAAGGACTACGAGGACATCTCGGAGGAGGCTTTGCTTTACACCCAGGTAACCAAAAAAGGGAGGGTGGCCTCTTCAACTGAGATGATGTAAGCTGAGAACTGCAGGCTTCTGCAAAACAATTTGGCTTGGTAAGCCGAATGTGCTTGCCCTCCCAGTCTGCCAAAGAATACACATTCCAGTAGATGATTTTAAAAATGGCATGCTGATACAGATTCCAGCAAATCCCTGTTGTTACTTACATTAGCATCAAATGTTGTATATGGGTCATATGGAGAAGGAGATTGTTTACTGGGAAAAAAAATGTACCTGCAAAGTTAAAATAGAAGACCTTTTCCTAGATAACGCATGCCTGATGTGGAGCCGTTTTAGGAGCCTCGGTGTGCAGTGGTTAAACTGAAGTACTGCAGTCAAGACTCTGCTCATTACCCATATTCCATCCCAACAAGCTTAGATTGCCAGCTTAGAGTTGACTTGGTCCTCCATTCTTCCAAGGGTTGTTAAAATGAGTACCTAGCTCACTACAGGAGAAACAGGTATAATTAAATTGTAGACCACCTGGAGGGTGCTTTAAGTGCTGTGGGGTGGTATATAAGCAGCACACAATGCTTTTATTTCAAAATAATTGTAATCCTTAGTTTCCTACATCTGCCACTAATCAACACATTGTATTAGAACTGTGGGGTGGTATATAAGCAGCACACATTGCTTTTATTTCAAAAATAATTGTAATCCTTAGTTTTCTACATCTGCCACGAATCAACACATTGTATTAGAACGGAAACACTGCTCCAGCATGGGTGAAACACTGCTAGGGTATATGTACCTAACACTGATTTTCTTTTTCTCCCAAGAAATTTTTAAGCTCTCGCATTGCTTCTGTGAGGAAGTATCCTGAGTGTTATACCCTCCATGAAGTTACCAGCATCATGGGAGGAAAGTTTAACCCCGAACTGACATTGATATTTGAAAAATGCCTGGTTGCTTTGGTAAGTGGACGGTGACATGTACCGAGTGATAGGTCTGTACACCAGCAGTGTTAAAAGGAGCAGGCTTCTGAGTTACTGTAGTGCCAGCCTGCAATTTAAGATGAAGTCCGGTTCCTCCGGGACACACTACACAAATCCACTGAAGTGAGCAGGGACTCCCCAAAAGTGTTATTGTTGATTTCAGTGGGATTTGTGTAGGTGCACTCGTGCATGGTTTGGGCTCCAGCCAGCCTTACCCACATTGCACCTGATGTCTCTGTTACAGAGCAGTGGTTCCCGACCCAGGTGTCCTTGGACTGCAACTCCCAGAAACCTTGGCTGGCACAGCTCCCTGTAGTCCATTCCGTAGACTAGCACAACTGGTGGTGAAGGCTTCTGGGAGTTGCAGTCCAAGAACATCTGGGTTATCCAAGAGTGGGAACCACTATAGAGGATCAGAGGGTTTTGGACCAGGAGGGCTTTTTTCCCCCGGTAGAGCCTGGGCATTGAACCAAGGACCTTCAGCATACACGGAGTGCAGGCTCTACCTTTGAACTAGGGCAGACAGAGCACAGCCCATCACCCTTTTTAGTTCTCAGACCCTTTAGGGACACAAGTTTGAAAGAAACACGGATTTATATTCCCCGAGTATTGTTGCTGAGACATAAATGATAGTTCTGTTGTTGTTGTTGTTGTTGTTGTTTAAACTTTCCTTTTCACTTTTGACATAAATGATAGTTCTGTTGTTGTTGTTATTGTTGAAGCTTTCCTTTTCACTTTCCCCTTCCAGGGAAAGGTGAACCTCATTAAACGATACTTTCCCAAGCTGCCTGCACCAATACAACTACCGGATCCTCACCGCGGAAATGAATTGGGCATTGCAACTCCTGAGCAGAGAGCTTCTGCCCTGCACAACGTAAGTAAAGGGACTGTCGATCAGCAAGAACATTTATGCCATAAACCTCTCTGTTTTGGGTGGAGGTTGTGCACTAGCAGATCTTCCTAGATTTTGCTTAATTGGCTTTTTATTTTTAAAATAATGAGGGTCTTACCAAGGACCCAGAAACTGCTGTTGTTGCGGTATAGGCAGTCAGATAAAAAAAAAAGGAGGAGGGGAAGGTACACATTTCAGTTTAACTTTGGATGCTGGAAAGTCATGACCAGTCGAGTGTACTTTAAACTGTAGTTTTGCTATGTGAACCATGACAAAACAAGGGTCCTTTGACAACTGCAAGAAAACCTTCCCAGCCACGTGAAGCAAGGAAGAGTGGGGTGGGATCCTTTGAAGGAGAAAGGCAGGGTGAAAATATTTTAAATAAATAACAGAGTCCAAGTTTTCATTTGGACCTGCAGGGGTTCGATCCCATATCTCTAAATGGAATAGTTGTTGAAGTGAGGCTGTGGTGTTGATGTCGTTTCGGGCACACATAATTGTTCCAAAATCATTCCAAGAATTAGTTGGGTATAAAATCATGCACATAAGTATGGGTTTCAGAGCCAAATAAGCACTTGGTTATGTGGTGAAGTGGCAAAGTTTGAAAGGTGGAAAAAAAGAAGAAAATATTGTTGTGCTTAGAAGGCATCTGTTTGCAGTGTGAGCTTTTGTGGAACAACGTCCACTTTATTCATTTTGTTTGTTTGTTTGAAATATCATTACCCCAGGCAGCTTGCCATCATTAAAAGATGATTTTTAAAGCTAAAAAAGAATAAATCTAAAGATACTAAAAAGGGGCAAACAAATGCCACACTAAAAATGCAGTAAACAAAAGGAGCACCCAGAACTCATTCAAAGCAGTAAAGGCATAAGCATTCATTTAGAAAAGAACCCACCCAGACAGGTAGTCATTAAGGAAGAGCTTGCCTAAAGAGAAAGTTCTTCACTTGCTTGCAGGAGGACCAGCAATGTGCTTCATTTATCATGCTGCAGTTTATTAGGTACTCAGTACTAAGGGGAATTAGCCCTTCCACACGTGACCACGGTGCATGGGGAGAGGAGGTTTAATCCTCGTTTCCCCCATAAAGAACTCTTCTCCCACAGTTTGTGTTAGAAAAACGCAGTGAAAGGGGGATAAAAGAGGTCAGTTTGGTCCGAAGTCCTAAATGTGTTTGCTTCCCAGTACTTGTGCTAAGAAAATATTCGTGAGGTTCTTAATATGTACTTTCAAGTTTGGCTCAGCAGTCCTTTGGCTCAGAGGATACTTCAGTGGCATCTTTCCACACCAGATAAAATATTTATTTCAGTGCATGCTTAACAAAAGAGAAGTCATGTTTAGGTATCCTAACATCCATCTTGTTCTCTGTTTTCCTTGTATTTTAAAAAGGACGTTAGCACAGATCAAAATGCTGAAAAACTTGCAGCGAAATACTGTCCTCAGGTGGTTCTAACAAGTGAATCGTTGTTTACGTTGTTGAACAATCACGGAATGGACTACAGGGAGGAGTGGGAAATTCCTGTTTCTGTAAAAATCGTTTCTGACACAGGTAGGGCTTTTTAATCCCACCATCTGTAGGCAGAATTTGTCTTTGAAATTATTTTAATGCTGAAGTGCAGGTAAGATGGATCAGAAATGTAGACTAGATCAAGAAGCTTATGCTGACTTTCATATATATATCTTGCATAAATTGTGCATGGCATCTTTTCATTCCTTTAGTGATGTTTCAAAGCAGTCCACAAAAGAAGTAAAAACAGATGTTAAAGAATGAAACATTAGGGCCCAAATCCAAGTAACAAGAACTGTTTGTGTTTGTGCAAGGACTCTTGCAGAGTGGATTTCCACAAGTAACCTTTGCACTAAAACCTTACTTGTGGTGGCTCTAAACGATTTGTGTTAGTTCTGCAGAACCATTTGCAGTGACAGATGGAAGGAACATCGTTTGGCAGGCTTCTTCTCTTCTTGCGTTGCCCCTCTCCTCAGTTTTTTGAAACTGGAGAGACAGAAATTTGATAACTAGTCTTGGTGAAAAGGCTTTCGAAAAGCAGAATCAAAGTAGCCAGCGACAGTCGCTTGAGTGAGCAGCAACAGAAAAACATAGGTTTCACATAAACATACGGAAGGTGTGAGGCTTGTTCTTTGCTCTGCGTCTTACAAAATCTCATATTGAACTGTCAGAAGGTGAAGATGTTCCTTTTCTGTGCAGGTCTTAAACCAGTGAAGGTTGTCTACATTGACCCCCCTGTGCCGAAGAAAGAAATGACAGTGAGAGAGAAGAACCAGGTTTTTCATGAATTTCTGACAGAGTATCACATGACGAAACAATCCACTGTTTTTGCACATGGTGTAGTACTGGACAAGCCGTCTGAAAAACCTGTAAGTTACACTTTTACTCGCGGGGGGGGGGGGGTTCTACCTTTTCTCAGGCATGAGAAATGACTTGGAGAACCTAAGGGTTTTTTTTTCCATTTTGGGGAGAGGGTGTGATGGGAAGGAGGAAGAACTGGAAGCCACAATGCATTCTGAGAATATTGTACCTGGACTGATCGCTGGAAGCATTCCAATATTGGAGAACAGAATGTAAGAGAAGTAATAGAATCAGTGGTTTTCAAGGCTTCCCTGCTGGTGTCATTGATTCCCACCCCCCTTTCTTCTTCAGGAGACCCCACTGGAAGCTTTGCAGGGCAGACAGATGCAAGTAGCTGATTCTGCGGATCTAGACTTCGATACAGATTTCACGGAACTAGAAACCTTTGGCTCGGTAACGAAGACTTGGAAAGCTTCTCAACTAGAAAAGGCTCCTGGAAAACTCTCCGGTACATCTAGCATCTTACTAGAGCACCTGAAAGGCGAAAAAGAGATAGTAAGAGATATGAAGAGTGGAAGGAGAGAAGGGACAGATAAGGCCAGCAAAGAGAGGGAGGAATTTGTCAGCGAGCAACATTTTATTAAGAGTCCCCCACCGAGTGGTGATGATTGCGACGAGAATTTATCCGTTAAAAGTTTTAAGGTGATGGAAGTTGAAACGGAGGACGAAAACGTGGCCGAAGAGAAAAAGATAGATAGTAAAACATTTCTCGGTTCTTCAGAGAAAACAGAAGATTTCAAGGAAAGAACGGAAGAGGCCCGGGGAGACAGATCAGATGCTCTCTCCTGCCCTAGTGACACCGACGAGGAATCGTTGGTAATTGACACGGAATGTAAAACGGGCCATCAGCTGGAATCCAGCAAGGTTGCTTCCGATCCAGGTCTTGAAGCAGAGACTCCAAGATCTTCCTGCTCTGAGGAAGGCCTGGGAGAGCCTTTGGAACACCAAAAATTGGACGGTCCCCAGAAGGCTCCAGGGGGAAATGAACCAGGCCGAGAAACGGATGCTCCCCGCAAGCCTTCGCGCCGATTGTCTAAAGAATGTGACCCACTAGGACAGATCTTGAAAATGCAGACGGAACTCCTCAAACCACCTTCTTCTGGCCATCAAGGGAAGCCAGAAGGGATCCCCGAGAGAAAGACTTTGAATCCTACACCAAGCCATCGATGCTCGTTACCCAAAGCCTTGGGATTATCCTCTTTAGAACCTACAGAAAATGCCACCACGGCAGAGGCCAGGCTGAGCTGGGTAACATACTTCCAAGGATCCCAAAAAGGTGAGTGTTCTTAGCAGAACGTTGGCCTCTAAATGGGCAAAGGACATCAATATGTTGTCACCGCTCAGCCCCTTCTAGGAACCCCCCCCCCCTTTGTACACTATTTATTTTTTGGAGGTGAAATCCAAGACGGCTTTATTCCAAACAACATTGTAAAATTTCACAAGGGAGAGAAGTTGTATTTTTCTTAATGGAGATAGGTTGGCGGTGGTGGGGAGTTGACCCCCTTTTCATTTTCTCATTCGGAAAGGGGTGCTTTGGGATGGCTCCGAAGATCGTTCGGAATATGAACCTCCTCTGCAGGGCAATCTCGTTTACAAGTTGTTCAGCCTGGAGGACCTGCTGCTGCTCGTGCGCTGCTCGGTACAGAAAGTTGAGCTTCGTCCACGCAATAAAAAGGCTAAGGTCCGGAGGGTAAGTGTTCCATGTTCCTTGTGTGTGTTTTCAGGTGGGTAGCCATGAAGTTAGTTTCATCGTTAAGTAAGTGGAAACACCACCTACTTTGACAGCTGCTGGTTTGGCCAGAATCTAAAAAGGCTAAGGTCCGGAGGGTAAGTGTCCCATGTTCAGGGGTTCTTTGCATGTGTTTTCAAGTGGGTAGCCATGAAGTTAGTTTCATCATCAAGTAAGTGGAAACATCACCTACTTTGACAGCTGCTGGTTTGGTCAGAATCTGGCCTGTCTTGAGAAAGCACTGGCATGACAAGGTGGGCTGCAGCTTCAGCCCTTGCCCTGACCTCCTCTTGTCATAGTTGCTGTTCCAGCTTTCTTTGCTCTTTCCTTACCTCTGGGTTAGCAACTCAGAGGCCTGATTTGCCCCATCTGCTTGCGTATATATGGATCTATATATATGCACTGACCAGATGTAGTAAACCCTCTCTCCACATTACTTATATGGCAGTAGAAGTGGAGAAAGAAGCTGTGGAAGATGACCCATGTTTTCTCATGAGCTTCCTTCTGTCTGAGTCATGAACTGGCCCCTAGAATCTCTCAGCCAGCTATCCAAAAAATGTGCTTTTCCCCACTTGATGTTGCTTGTTAACAGCTGCCTCCCTGTAGCTTCTCAGGTTCTCACGTGCTGCTCACCACAGCTGCAGCCTCGCTCTGCTTGATAGTTCACTGCTTGATGACATAAGTGCAGGAATTTTTCTGTTGTTGTTGAGACAGCAAATTGGTGAGGCGACTCCCACAATAATTAAGGGGTGTCATTTACCCTCCTCCGTATTTTGGCATCTGTGACCAAAAACACAGTTTTTGTCTTAGTAATTACATAGCAACTTGATGGCAACCCTCCTGAATGCCGTCAAGTGTAGGCAATGTTGTTGTAACTAGAGATGGTCATAGTGTGTTCAGTAATACACTGGATAACAGCCAATAAATTAAGCTGAGACTAGATAAGACACATGGGATGTGGTGGCGCTGCAGGTTAAACCGCAGAAGCCTCTGTACTGCAAGGTCAGAAGACTTGCAGTCGTAAGATCGAATCCTTGCAACGAGTGACCTCCCGTCGCTTGTCCCAGTTCCTGCCAACCTAGCTGTTCGAAAGCATGTAAGAATGGGAGTAGTTAAATAGGTACCACCTCAGTCGCTCTGGCCACATGACCACGGAAACGGTCTCTGGACAAACGCCGGTTCTATGGCTTGGAAACTGGGGTGAGCACGGCGCCCTAGAGTCAGACACGACTGGACTCAATGTCAAGGGGAACCTTTACCTAGATAAGACAGACAGAGATAAAAGGTACTGAAATTTTAACGCCCCCCCCCATATTTTGTAACCTTTTTCCTATATTTGCTTAAGCTCACGGTTCCCTCGGGTGCGTGCCTGCACACGACTCTACCCTGCTCTGCGCATTGTTTTGACGACCTTTGATTCCGGTCGCGATGGAACACTGCACAGGAGAGAGGAACTGTGTGCACATGTATGAAATTGTGCACACAACGGGCAGAGCCCTACCCAGTGGGGATGAAAAGTAGAGGGTGTGTTGCTTACACTCACAAAATACGAACTAGCTTTGTTTCTTCTGTATGATTGACTCTGTAAAGGCCCGAAATGGAAAAAGCATGTTTTACAGAAAAGCTAAGATTTGTAACATTATTCTGTGTGGATTTAATCTGTTATGTGCTCAACTCAGAGTCAGCTGATGCCGGTTGAGTTTTTCCTGAATTCCTGAAGGTGGCAGCCATGTAACGATGTATTTTGAAGAATGCCCAATGCATGCAAACCTTTTCATCCGAAGTCATCGCTATCCGTTGCTGGCTATGAATTAGGCATTTTCACAGGATAAACAGGGCAGACCAGATTTATGTGTTTCATCATCTCAAGAATGTTGTGCACATGTGTGGACCTGGGCAAAGAAAGGAAACATTGGGCTGTGTCCTCTTTGTATCAGCATAATGTGAAGTTTAGCCTGTGTAAATGTGGCAGTTGTTACGCCAAGTCAACGAGGGATTGTGCTGTGCAACTGCGTGACCAATTGTGCATCCCTGGCATGACCCATTGTGCGGTGTGCCTGCAGAAGTGTTTAGGAGATCATGCTGCAGCCTCAACCTTACCTCTGACCCAGCTTTCTTTGTTCATTTTTACAGCACTTTCCAGTCTATGTTTTACCAAAGCTAGAATATCAAGCCTTCTATGGAGCAGAAGCATTAACGGAAGGTGAAATATGCCGCCTTTGGACAGAGAGCTTGTTACATTCCAACAGTTCCTTTGAAGTTGGTAAGTTTAGTTCCATTTTGCTCTGTGTTAATACATGCTTCGTACATGCGCACAGGAGTAAACTACAAATGCCCGCTTTAGTATTTCCTCCCTGCCATTTTGTTAAGGCAACACACTTCGGCAACACATTGCTCCTTCCTTAGAAATCACAGTGCTTTGGAGTCATTTCAGAATGAGATATCCTTTGGGGTTGTGACTGAATCATAATGGTGTCAAACGTTCTGTTGTACTGAGATGAGTGCCATTGAAGGTTATGCAGTAAACTTCATTGGTCTGATTTTATTTTATTTCCCCCCCACCCAATTTTGCGCACACACTGGAACCAAAGATGGCTTATGATACAAGTTAAAACCAAGTCATTTTAAAAATGCTAGGTTATGTAGCATTTTGCACAATCCTGGCCGCTAAGATGTGATGGCCCCAGGTGTAGCCGGCCTTTTAGAAGGACTCAAACTTTCAAAGTTGTGTTGGGCTGTCGTAAAAGCTTCCTCCTTTTAGATTTATGATACAGTAAACCAGTCCCGAGCACCCCTGAATGGAAGGCAGGTAAATGTGTTAGTAAAGCTTGCATCCATGGAAATCACTCCTTTGAAATAGTTACATTCCCAACAAAATCTGCAGACTTAATCTTCCACCCCACTGTTGCAGTGCTCAACGTTTAAAAGTAGGCCGAACAAACACAAGCAAGGCTAAATGTTCTGCCCTCTGGTTGAGTAACCAGATATGGAATATGACTGATGGACACTCGGCTCTCAAGAGCTGATTTTGCATAAGGTTCTGATAGCATTCAGTTGAATGAAGTGTGTACCTCTAGCTTATCTGGCGGCAAAGCGTGTTCCTGGCACAGTGATGTTGTGGTTTAGGTGCTGCCCCACATCTCGAGGCAGACCTGAACTTTAAACAGAGCACAATAGAGATGCAAGGCTGGATTAGTTCCAAGGCAAGTAACCCACTGAGAACCTTCAGATAAGTCACTGTTCTGTCTCTATGTACATAGTCAAGTGAATTAAAGAAGTCAGTAGTGGTGGCTCAGGGTCATTGAGCGTCAATACAAGAAGAGTTTGTTGTTGTTGTTGTTTTAAAAAAAAGCCATCATACCATCATGGCCTAGTATTAACCAGTACAATTTAGTTTGCTCCTGGGAAATAACACAAAGGAGAGACTCTGGGGTGGGGGTGGGGGTCAAAGTTGAACTCCTTCAGGTTCCTCTCTCTCCTGATCTCTTTTTATAGTTTGGTTTTTCCAAAGTTCTGATAGTGTCATAACTTCTTTTTAAAAACACCCTAAATTACAGTATCTCCTGTTTTTCAGGATTTGCTTCCTCTTTCTTATGGACTTGCTTCTTTTTGTTGTGAAACTGTGTGGTGTGTTTGTTTTTTACATTTCCTCCGCCCTCTCCCCATCTCCTTGCTTTAGGCCATATCGACGCCCTCACTTCAAAACTCTTCCTGCTCGAGCAGCTGTCCGCAGAAGATTTGAAAAAAAGGTTTGGCACGTTTAAGTGAGTACCTTTCCCATACCAAAGTTGCCCTGGGGCCCTCCTCGGTCAAGGCAGAGCGCACTGCGAGTGAGAGAGACCGCATGACCCTCCCCTCTTCTGGATGCGTCTGCCCCACCGGCTCAGTTTTCCCTTCTGGGCAGGTGACGGCCACGCTGACCTGTCTCCTTGGAGAGGGTGGTGCAGAGGGCAAAGGGCAGCCCAGAGCAGCCTAGCCTTCCCCCCCCCCAGCGTAAACAAAGTGTGCAGGTGGGCCACGTGGAAGGGTGGTGCAGGGAGAGGGCTCTGACAGCACTGAGCCCCCTCCCCTCCTGTTTCCCAAGGAGGAGGATTTCAAGGGGACGCAATCCTTGCCTTGGCGCAGGTGCTGGCGACCCAGGCCAAACCACAGCCTTTTTGAGTCCAGGGACCACATTCTGTTTCAGAGGAGGATTTTGGTGGTGGGGGGCAGTGGAGGGCGCAATCCAGGATGAGCAAAGCCAAAGGCAAAAATGAGGGGGGAACCAAAATTAACAGCATATTTTAGCTTAGAGTTCCATCTTGAATAATTTGCACGTCGTCAAGTCAGTTCTGATATTTCCAAGGTTTCCTAGGTAGAAAGTACTGAGAAGTAGTTAATCCCCTTCCCTTCTTGCAGGGGATGCCCTGGGATGGTGCAGCTGTAGCCCAAGGCTCCCCCCCACCCCAGGCTGGCTCTTTTCCCTGGGAGGCACACACCGTGGGGAATTGAACTCCCAACCTCTAGCTCCACAGCCAGGCTAGGCAGGGGCATTTCGGTCGCTGGAAACCACCAAACCAACTCACAGATGCCGCACACTTCTAAGTTTCTCTCCACGCTCATGAGTTGCCTGGCATAATGCTTTGTCCAGGGACATGGCAAGTGCCAAGCGCATGGCGCAGCCTAAGCACGTGCAGTCGTAGAGCGATGGGGTCGGTCGGTTAATCACATGTGATTCTCATAAGTCCAGCTTGGGGCAGTGTATGAAGACAGACACCTATAAAATGTCAAAATTATTGTTCTTATTAATTCTGAAAAGTGATTACAGCGCACTCATTTTTGCTGTGAGCGCCATAACTTGCTTCTTGTTTCTGCCTGTTGTTCTCTCCGCATAGGCCGGCAAATTCTTTGAATATTCTCCAACATATCTTAAAGAAAGTGACGAGGTAGGTCTTGCCACTTGCCTTTTTTTCCCCCTTCCCGCAAACGTTCTGTAGCGGTGCCTGGCTCCAGGCTCATGTATGTCAGCCTTACATCCTTGCTGATGCTGGGCGCACACTGCTTTGGCCGAGATACGTTCAGGAAAGCCAGTGGTGTATAGAAGCTGGAACAAAGGAGCAGGTGGTTTCTGAGCCCACTGGGTCCCCCACCCCACCCAGTGCAGCTACGGATGAGGAATGCTGGTGTTGTACCGCTCATGCCTCATCCTTTCTTCTGATGGTTTCTCAGGCTCTTTGCTAGAGGTGTACACGTTTTGGATTTTGAACTGCCTCTCCCCAAATCCCATGCTTTGGGCAACAGACACATCAGCAAGCCTGGGTTGTCTTCTCTTCCCCCCCCCCCAACTTGGTCCTCAGCCATTTGTCTCAAAACTGTGGGGTTCTCCAGGCATAACCATTTCTGTGCTTTAAGTTTGCAGGAGGGCTCCTACCTCTTGGCTCACACGGCAGGCGACTCCTCTCTCACCATCTATAAGAGCTCTGATGGAACGAGCACCAGGGCCGCCTATAACCTGCACTCCGCTCATTCGGACTTGCCTCGTGCCCCTCCTGCCATCGGTGTCCCATGGGTCCCGCTGGATCCCAACCTCCCTTTACCCTATCACTTTGCTCAGGGATGGGTCCCATGCACTTTTCCACCAAAGCCGGCAGATCCCCAGAAGAAACAGAAGGTGAGACTCATAGTAGCAAGAGTGCATTGCAATCTGATTTATTTTCAGGCATTTTTTATGGTCATGAGGGCTAGAAACCTAAGCGTGGGTGGGTGTTTCCAGTTTGCCAGGTGTATAGAGAAATCCTTGTAACAGGTACATAATGTTGTTGTTTAGTCGGTATGGCCCAGAAGCGTAACGTATCCAAGCTCTGACTTCCTCTTTGAGAGGGCGTTCTTTCTACTTTTGACTGAGAGGGGGATCCGAGACTGTCTTCCTCACCAGGGCCTGCCCAGCCATCTGGAAGCCAAGGTCATTGCTATTGCGGGACATGGTTTTATTTGATACATTTATGAGGATGAGGAAAAAATTAAAACTCTGTAAATATTAACCCAGGTGACACTGACCTGGCAGATAGATGGAAAGACAAAGCTTTGATTGTTCTGAAGGGGGAGCAGATGCCACTGTAATGGACACCCCCCCCCATACAGTCCACGAAGAGCATGAATCTGTGACATGAGTAAGGGATCTCTGCTCTGGACCCTTATGAAGATGTACTTGGGAGCCACCCCCATCTTCATAAGGACGAAAATGCACTTTTCCTTCTCTGAAAAGGTTTGTTCCCAGAAGCTCTTGGAAATGTTTCTCTTGAGCACCGGGCATGGAGTTTCCTTAGAGGAAGCTGCACGTGAAGCAAAGTTTTGCTGTTGAAACACCCCATGCCTTTTGCTTTTTATGGAACCAAAGCATGGGGGAGATGCAGGAAGGTGTGCCTGGAATGGAGGGAGAAAAATCCTAACCCTTTGCACATGCATGTGTGCACATATCCTGAATCCAAACTGCAGGTGTCACACCCCAAAACTGCTGTTGGATGGGGAAACGGCATGAGCTGCAGTTCTTAAGCCTCCACACCGAAGAAGAATTGTGGAAAGGTGGGGCAGGGCTCGGAAACCTTGTTAGGTTTTAATGGTGCAGCTCTTGATGCTGTCTCCCAGTCATGCTTTTTAGCCTCAGAGGTGACATCAGACCTCCTAGGAACGCAGTTTCCACCTCACCCAGCTGGAGCTGATCTTGTACAAAATAGCCAGAGATCTTGGGATATGGAAATAGTTCCCATGGAGTAGAGCAGGGTTTTTTTTCCTTTGGAGTAAAAAAAAAATACTCAGGATGTTCTTAGGACGAAGCCCACTCCACAAATAAAGTTGGGAGAGAGAATCATGACATCCAGAGTATCTTCACAGCAATATTTCATGTGTGGTTTAACACCCTGTGGTGCAGTGGTTACACTGCAGTACTGCAGTCCAAACTCTGTTTGTGACCCAGGTTCAGCCCCAGATAGCCAGCTCAGGGTTCACTCAGCCTTCCATCCTTTTGAGCACCCAGCTTTCAGGAGGAGGGGCAACGTGTAGCCCAATAATTAAATTGTATACCACCCAGAGAATGCTTTAGGCTCCATAGGATGGTGTATAAGCAGCACACTCCTGCTTTTTCGCTTTGTGTTGTTTTTTTTTAGGAAGGAGGGTTTTTGACTGTTTTGTTTTGGCTACATGTTGGCCCTCATGGAATCTATCAGGACCTCCTGAGAAATTTAACCCTCCTGAGTGTTACTTCCTCTTTCTTTCTCCTTTTTTTCGTCCTTTCCTCCCCACCCCACCCACTCCTTTCCTGTTCTTTTCACTCCTAGATGAGTCGGGCCAAAGCAGGCCCTGGTGGCACACTCGACCGCAGAGAGCCGGTTGCCAGGGAAACGGGCAACCACCACCGCCAGCCGGCTAATCCTTTGCGAAAGCGTCGTGGAGCTGCACAGAGCAAGGCTGTGATGAGACCAGTCTCCAGGCCGGCCGGCCGGGGGCCAAACTGGAAATTCTGGAAAAAACTCAAAGATGAGCAATGATGAAGTGACTTAGTCATGTGGAGGGCAGAGAGATTCTCAGAGGAGGGGAATTTCACTCCTCTCCCACACCCTTCCGCCAAACATCAGATGAGCAAAGGAAGAACGAGACACACAGGCCTCAAGGAGGGGGGGAGACAGAGCAGCGTGGCTGTGTCGTTGTGAAACCTCCTAGCTTTTGCCGTTGTTAAGAGGAAAAATGGACAAAGTGTTCTATGTGGGTCCAAAGAAGCGATCCCAGGGCCTCGGGGTGAATGGCGCTAGGCAAACTTTGCAAAAGTCCCGAGGCGTTGGCTTGCCCCTCAGTGCTGAGCTTATGAACTCCTTATTTATAAATATATGCTAATTCGCTGGGCGAACATCGAATCAGCCCATTGTGTGCCTTCAGAGCCAGCTTCAGTTAAGAAGTGCTAATCTGAGCCCAAATGAATCCATAAGTGACATTTTCAACTTTTTTGGGGTGGGTTGGGGGGATGCGGGTTTGTCCCTGAACTTTAAAAGTGGCAAATTGGAAGTTTGTTTAACTCTTGTCCCTGGTTTTGTTTTCTTAAATCATGCTTCCCTGAGCTGCGTTTTGGAACCAGCATCTGTACGGTTCCTGGCTTTAGATACCAGTCAGTCAGAGCCTTTATTGGCAGACACACACACAAAAAATCACATATGCAAGTTAACAAACAAACTTCTCAATTAACCGAATCTGCAAATTTGTTGACGTCCCCCCTGGTGGATTGAAACGTACGAGAAAACAGCTTGGCAGAGAGAGACGTACACATATCTTATACGCACAGTTTTTTTAAATTTTAAATAGGAAGCAAATGACAGCAACACCATTGTTTTGGGTGTGTTTTTTAAAGTTAAGACTTTCTATATATTTAAAGCGGATAGGCTACACAGGCAACGCCACTTTAATATTTTGAAGCAAGAAATTTAAATTGACCCAGTTACAAATTCCAAAAGATGTTCCAGTATTGGTTGGTTGGTTTTTTAAGATATTAGCATTGTTGTCTGTACATCTGTTGTGAATAAGGCTTGCTCGATATGATGAAATAAAGCAAAAAAAAGTGGTCTGTTGTCTTTCCGTTGTGCTGATGAGCTAGACCTGCGGAGTGTTGACTCACAGGTGGCCTTGCCATGAGGTGGCGATCCGAAGCACTCTTAAGCCAAGCGGAACGGAGACCACCAGTGGCCAAGGAGCCCTCTTGCCAAGCCACGTGGGCTGCTCCTCTTCCGTGGCCACGCTTCTGTAATATTTCCCTTCTGTTTCCCTAAGAATGGCCCAGGAGCACAGGTCCCCTGTCAGCCCATTGAGTTTCCCAGTGCAAGCACCCAAGTTTCTTTGGGCCCCTACTTTGCCCCCCCCCCGAGCCTCTAAGTGGTACATTTGAGTAGGAATGGCTTCCTTACTCCCTTAGCTCTGCAGGGAAAGCAGCTGCACTGCTGTGTTCCAGCCATTGTGACTGCCCCAATCTGTCTCCAGAGATGGTCTTGGGCAACGGGCAACATGCTAGGTCCTGTAATAGTAGTAGCCTTGTTTACACATGGTTGCCACAGCAGACGCCTCCTTTTCTCTGTTCTGGGGAACAGCAGCAGCTGGCGCTCTAATGGCAAGGAGCAAAGTTTGCTTAGCGCTATTGCTAAAGAGTAGGTGCTGTTTCAAAACCATTAAGCCCAGCCTGAGAGCCTCCTACCAGAGAAATAGTTTTGCCGTGAGTCATCGGCTTGATTAGAGAGGCTGAGGATAGGAAGCAGGCTTTTCTGCTCTGCAGGAGGGGGAAAGACAAGAGCGCCTTTATCATTGTTTGTTGAATTGGCTTAAGTTGTCTGTATGCTTTGCTTTTTCATTTCTCATTGTATATTTAAGCACTGCAGCCACAGGAGTCTAAAGGTCTTTCCCCCACTCCACCCCATTCTCGTAACGGGGAGACGATGTGGTCGTTATGGAAGACAGGGATCGACCCCTTTGGCTGCTCTTGCCTGCTGTCAAGTTGCTCCTGATTTAGGCTAAGCCTAGCAAGGTTTCCCAGGTCCCTGGGATAGTCAAAGAGTGGTTTATCATGGGCACTCCCCACTGTGTTTCCGTGGCTGAGCAGGGATTCGAACGCCTGCCTCCTGAATCTTACTCTTGTATTCCATCCCCTTGCACAACACGGGTTCTCACACGGCCCTTTCTAGAGCTCGCTGTGCTTTTCCTCTCCTGCAGAAATGACGCAGATCTTTCTGTCTTGAGTCCAACCTACTGACAATATTAGGCAGAACTCCAGAGAGTCGCACAAGGGACTCTGCTTGCTGGGAGCTGTAGTCCGAAAAGCAACTTTCCTGAACTCTGGCAGTAGAGGGGGTGACTCATGCCGAAGAAAACATCCACATTTGACATCCCATTGACTCTTCCCCCATCACTGCTGCTCTTTTCCAATCTGCTGTTTTGCACCACAGTTTTTTTTTCTTGGCCAGGGCTTATTTTAACCTTTCTTTTTTTATTATTATTTTTTCAAGAAGGATGGAACAGAGACTTCTCTAGGCATCAAGACCACTTAAGCGCCAGCACCAGTGACTAAAAAGCATCGCCCTTTACTGATCAATATCACTAATGGCTTTTCTGGACTGCCCTTGAAAAACCACCTGTGCTTGGGGGCAGACAGATTCTTCCAGCCAGCAAAAGCTGTGTCTGCCCATAAATTCCCCCTCTCTGTGAAAGGTTCGTGTGCAATCTTGTTTGAATAAATTCTGGACAGCCTTTTCTTGGCGTCGAACATGCTGCTACCTGTAGAACTCCGCCTGCAAAATGTCTGAGCTGGAAGCTGGCTGCCACTTGGGAACAAATAAGGATAAGCTCGGCGGGGAGAGTGTTTTGATCTGGAAATCAGCAAAGATCCCATTAGTGATGGCTTAAGATCTGCGTAGTTTGCTCCAGGTAATTGCAGTTAACGGCATGCCGGGATACCTGGTTGTATAGTCAGGGACCAAGACATACCCCAACATTAGTAGCGTAGCTGGGTTATATGATGTGAACACTGATAGGATTCTGGCCTTCCTTGAGCTGAAGGGAGGTTCCATTGTATTAAACAGAGGAACCAAGGACAGCCGTGAGGCTAGTTTTTTTTGTGTGTGTGTGTTTTGTTTTTTTTGTAGCACTTAGGGACTTTTCTCTTTGGAGTATAACTCCCAGATTCTGACTGTGATCTGAAGGATTCTGAGAGCACCAGTCAAAAAAAGGGGATCACATTTCCCAAGATCTGGTTTCTTGTTGAGGCATCTTATTTATTGAAAAAGAATTTCTATACCACTTTCCACCAAAAGCTTCCAAAGCGGTTTACAAATAACAAATACAGTCAGAGCAATAAAATCCATGAAAACTATCAATTGGATGAAATCCTGTTACGCAGTTATGCGAATAGTGTAACTTTTGCACAAAAAGAGCTGATATATGACTGCTGCAAATAACTTTTTTATCTTTTGCACACCGGGATGTGGCTCAGTGTGCAACAGATCATGTCTGGTTAGATTTCTTAACTTACAGCAGTTTGCTTCCAAAGGTTACTCCATCTGCGTGACTGTGTGCCTGGATTTCAGCCATTGAAAACCAAGTAGGCTGATAGCATTGACAGGGAAATATTCGGGTAAATTCTTTGATAGATGCATTGTGCAATCTCCCTGCCAAGTCGTCTCCAATTTATGGCAGCCCTATGAATGAATGCTCTCCCAAAGGTCTTGTCCTCAACAATTATGGCAACCCTATGAATGAGTGCTCTCCCAAAGGTCTTGTCCTCAACAGGCCCTGCTTATAGCTCTTGCAGACTCGAGCCTGTGGTTCATTTAGGGAGTCATTCCATCTCCTATTTGTCTTCCTCTTTTCCTACTGCCACATTCAACTCTTGATAGCATCTCCATTGGAAACACTCCAGGAAGAGGTGATGGGAAAGCTAAGCCTTAGACTATGTAGATAGAGAGTTGCTGCCAATCAGAGTAGACCATATGGAGCTCAATAGAGAAATAGTCTGACTCTACTAGAAGGCAGTTCCTCCTGTATCACACATGCTCCGTGGCACTCCTTTGTAACTACTGGTGGAGGAACTCTCTTTAGAAGAGAGCCAGGCTATGGGAAGGTGCTCTGACCTGAATGAGTGCAAAAAGGTTTTGCGATTCACACATGACCCCTGGCATCAGTGAAGGAGCCAAAGACATGGGAGTAGACACACCTCACCTTCATTCCTTCCAGCCTTTCCTGATGCTTTTCTTGGCAGGCGGGGCTGCTGGGAATGCATCAACAAGGCACGCCTGAGCTGACCCCTCTCCTGCAGAAAAAACCCCACACAAAGCTCTTGCCAACCATGTTCTGTGTTTTTAAAAGCGCTTTCCCAATCTGCTCCGTGCCTACGTAGGGAAACATACCACTTCTGCATGAGTGTGTTGGCTAAGTCGCTACTAGATTCTCCCTCCCTCCCTTACACACACATACACAGAGGGAGGGAGGGAGAGAGAGAGCATGCACTTGAGAATGTAACTAAAAGCAATCGGGCTATGCATTGTGATGTTTCCAATGTCTAAGAGAGCGAATAACGTTTAGAGCAATTTGATGAGTGGTCAATTTGAAGCTGACATGCAATATCTATGCTGTTTTGAGATCCCTAAATAAAAGTAGATGCCATGTTGGGATTGTGTGTGGATCCTGCATGCCGGGGCGGGGGGGGGGAAATAATAGTCTGAAGGCAACCGGGGCAGAGGTCTGTAGTTTGTCAGCAAATAATCAGATCTACATCCTCCCCTATCAAGGCATCAGGAAGTGAATATGGCCAACCGGCAGGAAGCCTGATGAATGTATATCCTGCAACTGTTTCAATGTCTTTGTTAACACAAGTTTCATTCATGCGGTTGGCATGAAGTCCTCCGTAGGTGTGTTATTTGTTTCTCTTTTTGTGGCTGCTTCTAGGCAACCTCTAACGCAGACAAAGCAATGAGTAAGTTGCTTTCTGAATGCTCTGCAAGCGATAAGGAAGACTCCTTAGGTTGGGTGCTTATCATCTTGGTCCCGTTTTTATATACCATAGAGCAGTGGTGTCGAACTGTGGCCCTCCAGATGTTCTTGGCCTTCAACTCCCAGAAATCCTGGCCAGCAGAGGTGGTGGTGAAGGCTTCTGGGAGTTTTAGTCCGAGAACATCTGGGGACCCAAGGTTGGGAACCATAGTACACACCGCAGTGCCTTTGAAAGTGAACGGCTTTGACCAGAAACATTGCATGGAGTGCAGCTGAAATGTTCCAAAGGAAAGAAATCAGAAATGGAGCTTTGAAAATTTTCTCTTTTTTGCACTACATTTCCCAGAATTCCACAACCCTCATGACCCATGTCAGAAATAAGCTATTGTTAGGCATCTGTGGGCAAATACCCAACTATTTGGCTTTAGTCTTTGAAGTTCTGAAGCAGTGAGATCTGCTCCCTGGGAAGAGTTGCCACCTGTTTGAACTAGCAGGCTGCAATACCTGAAAATTCATGCAGATCATTCAGTGGTTTAGTCTGCAAAGCCAGAGGTTGGCAACTTGATTCTTCGTTGTGTCTCCTTGACGGGGGCTGGACTTCATGATTTATAGGGTCCCTTCCAGCTTTGCGGGTCTACGATTATAAATCTAAAATTTGGGGACCATAAAACACTAAGATTGCAGTCTTCTGAAATAAGATTAAGGCCCTGAGAGACCTCCCTTTTTTTCCCATCCTTCGGGATTTGAAAAATTTCTGCACAGCTTCTTCGGGATAAGCTTTTGTTGTTCTTGATATACATTTAATGCGGTTACTGTTCTGTAAACAGTACTTCATATTTTCTTCTCTATCATTCTGTCACCAATTCTCCATTTTGTGAGCCAATGGAAAAAATTATATTTTTTTAAAAGGCAGAATAAAACTTTTGTCATCTCCAAGAGCAAGGAGTTATAGGAACACAGCATATTTTATACTTCCAAGACGCAAGACAGCAAGAGGATTGTGTAAGAGAATAGTGGATATTGGAAAACCCACAGCGTTGACTATGCGGACCTTTGTCGGCAAGGTGATGTCTCTGGTTTTTAAGATGCTGTCAAGGT